TTGAGTCTAAGTCTTTTGAGTCTTATCCCCAAAGCTGTAGGGAGCTCCTGGAGGATTTTAAACAAAGCTGTGTGTTTCAGGAGGACTCTCCAGGCAGCTGCCCTGTAGCTTCAGCAATGGTGAGTAATGGGGACTCAACCAGGCAGCTCTGGGACAGACAGGCAGAAACAGCTTGAGGAGGACTCCTTTCTCCCACCAAGTTCATTGCCACCACATGCTGCATGTATTTGTCTTTCTCCCCCATTTGCTTATAATCACCTGGGTATGCACTGGAACTAATGCATCTTTCCCTTCTCCACAAAGTCTTACACGGGTAGGCACAGTGGACTAACACGCGGGGCTTAGATGCCAATCCCAGCAGGAAGGTAAAATGGCATAGTCAAACCCTTGAAAATCCCTTAAATCGTCCACATAGCACAGCATATTGGCCTCGTGTATACATCCTTACAGAATAGTAGGGGAAAAGAGAGAGTTACTCTGCAATGCACAATGTGAGCAGAGGATATGTAAGAGCCATTTTTCTAGCTTTATTTAAATGACTGTTTTTTCTTTTTTCTTTTAGGGCCTGTATTGTTAAGTCAGCTTACCTTAAATGCACAATTTGCTGCAATGGTTCCACTGCACTCAGTAAATATTTACAGAGAAAATGAAAGGGAGAACAACTCCCAAGGGGGTGTTCTCATTTGTCCACTGGCCTCTGGCTCCCACAGGGTTTGGGGGTCAGAGGTGGGTCAAGGAGCATGGGATTGCAAGGAACTAGTGGACTCGGAGCTATACTGCCTGGGACTGGAAGACAAAGTTCCCTAACTGTTGGACAAACTGCCAGTCCCAGCCCCAGCTGTCAGCTCTTGCTCATAACTGCCCTTGGCTGAAGAGAGCAAGGACACCCAATGACTGTTCCATATTAGAGTACAAAAGCCCAGCTGCTTTGCCCAAACTTCAGGCAACTCTGCCAGGCCATGTGAACTTCAGAGCTCTTTGTGGGGTCAGCTGCAGCCTTGCAATGTCTATACCACAGCTCACTTTTAACTGCCCAAAGCTGCTCCATGCCTTTCCCCGATAGCTATCCATACCTAGAGCATGTTGGAGACCCTGGCCTGCAATAAGTGGCTATCTGAGGTTAAGAGGCTAAGAGGTGTCAGAGTCCAGGAAGAGCGGCAATGGGTTGGCAGGTACCAAGAGCAGCAATAAGCAGGGTCCAGGCATCAGAGAGAAGGTGCAGGGGGATAACAGTGAGCACTCCTGATGGAAGAAGGCTGTTTGTCTCCATCCTGCACAGCAAGGAGGTCTGGGTCTGTGGGAGAGGCCACTAAGGACTCCCCCCTGCTCTCTCTCAAACCTACCAACAACAATTCCCCTCCTCCTACCCACTGGCCATTTTTATGGGGCTAATATGTATCTTTGTGGGCAGCCACCAGCCTGGTGAGATCTGGACTTTTACCTAAACACCACCAAACACCTCAACCCAAACTCTTTGCTACAGGTTCTACCAAGGAGCCAGATTTCCCATTATTAGCTGACCCCATTTCTGTCAGATTTTTAAGTTTCCAAAACAGATCAAGGTAGAAAAGGTGTATTTTTATTTCTGGGGAATGGTTTGATCATTACTTGCCCTTCAGAAGCAAAGGTGATGGATATTCACATACCTGGGCAAATAATTTGGTTGATAAAGGAAAAATCACTAGGTCTTTATTCTGCCTAAGAATCAACTTCGCCAAATTTTCTTTCCTTTTGCTCACTGCCTCATTATTTTCTACATGACTTTCATTCAGGAAATTACACTTGAATACTTTGAAATGCAGATTTTTTGCTTTTATATTTTAGGCTGACATTTTCTTTTCTACCTGTTTTCCTTTATGCATTGGGAGGAATTAATTTCAGTACCAATCTGGCCTTTCAGGAATGATCAGTTTGGGGCATCTTGAAAATATCAGGAGGCTGAGGTGAGAGGATCACTTGCGCTCAGGAATTAGAGGTTACAGTGAGCTACAAACTCTATATGGCAAAGGAAGAAGGAAAGAAGGGAGGGAGGGAAGAAGAACATTCTTTTAACAAAGGTGAATCCTCCTAGACAATTACTGCCCAGAGAGTCATGGTTACTGCCAGGAGGAAGCTGCGTTCCTTGGCTGGGAGGGTAACCAAGAGGTTCAGAATTGTTGCTCCAAAACACAGTGACACTAAACCCCTTGGAGGTAAGGGTCTCTCTTCTGTAGGCTCTAATATCTATTGCTCTGTGGTGTTTGTTTGCTCACTTAAGTATTCACTTATTTATTTATTTTTTGAGACAGAGTTTCCCTATGTCACCCTCAGTAGAGTACCACGGCATCACAGCTCACAGCAACCTCAAGTTCTTGGGCTTAAGAGATTCTCTTGCCTCAGCATCCCAAGTAGCTGGGACTACAAGCGCCGGCCACAACGCCCAAATGTTTTTTTGTTGCACCCGTCATTGTTTGGCAGGCCCAGGGCGGATTTGAACCCACCAGCTCTGGTGTATGTGGCTGGCACCCTAGCCACTGAGCTACAGGTGCCGAGCCTCACTCATTTATTTTTACAGGCAGCCTTTTTTTTGGGGGGGGGGGGGACTCAAGTAACTTCTGAAAAACTCAAAATTAAATCAAGCTCCTAGTTCCTTTGTATCTCCTGCATTGACATTCCCTCACCCGGCAGAAGTGACTGCCTGGCTTCAAGATCCCCAGACCCAGTGGGAAGAATGACATGTTTCCAACAGAACGGCTCACTGCTGGGCTAGTAGATTCTTTTGCCAGGACTGCTCTGGCATTTCTGGAAAATGGAAAATCAAGAGCTCAGAAAATGAACGTGTTGTTTAAAATGATGACTCACTTTTTTTTCCTACTTTGTTTGCTGGCCCATGTTCTGCTTGTGTGAGTTATCCATGTGAGAATCTTTGTGAGCCCTGACATCTAATCTCTTCTAGAGGCTCAGAAATAAATAACTTAGATTATGTTATATAGGAACGAACACAGAAGCCACATCCTCCAGTGGTCAGGGGATGGGAGATAAGTGATGGAACTGCTCTGTGCCTCAGTTTCCCCATTCATACAATGGGAATAAGGAGAGCTGACAGGTATCTGTGCAAATTCAGTTAGATAATGCATATAAAAAGACTAGAATAGGCTTGGTCTATATGTGCACTAGTAAATGTTAGCTACTTCTTATATGATTGTTATAAAAAGCATAAGAGGAGATACAGACAAAACAATTTCATTCTTGCCGTCTAATAGTCTACATTCTTAAAATTGCTCCCTAGAAGATCATTATCCGTTAGGAAGCTTATATTGAGCTCATATGTACTTTTTGAGATCACATATGCAATTTTCAAAGAAATGTCTATTTTAAAGAGATCTATTAGGATAAAGCAGGCCTCCTCTGAGATAATCTGTACTTGGAATAGTTCTTCACATCTCTAAGCAACCTCCTTTAAGAAATTGTCTCTCTCCTTTACTCTGGATAATCTGCTAACATTCCACAGGTATTGAGTACACAAGTCATGTCACTGCAGTTAAAAAAATCTGCCATGTTCTTTTTATGATAAATAAAGAAATCTCTGGCCCATTTCCTCACAACTGTAAAAGTATCTTTGCCTAGAATCTCACAGGAAATCTATTAATACCAATTTTAAAATAAATGAAGAAACTTATCATATTTCTGGTGCCCGAGCAAAAGGAAAAGTTCCCCAAACTAAACAAGTCTCCAAGAAGAACGCTCACTGTTAATGGGGAGAGATTAATTGGAAACTCCAAATACTCAATTTTTATTAATAATCACCGGTTGATTATCAAATCAGTGAATGAATTTGGTATCAGATATATTGTCATGAGGAGAAAAAAAATAACATTGGATAATTTAACCTAGCAGAAAAATAAAAGATTTGCCCAAAGCCTCTGGAACTTTCTAAAAATAACTACCAAAACTATTTCATGGAAAAAGAAAAAGAAACAAAAGATAAGAGTATCACTTCCAACATAAACATCAAGCTTCGATGTAAGGAAGATCATTAGAGATTCAAATTAGGTAGACCGTCTTTGTAATTGAACCATTAAAAAGATACCACTTTAAGCTTTTGTGGAAAAGAATGACCCACCCTGAGAGCAAAATATACATGGATTCTAGCTTTCATATTAGGATGACATGCTTAAGAAATCAAGTGTCATTATCAAACTACAGCCTCTTAAATTATAACAAAAGTTTATCCAGACATATTTAAATTACAATCCTCGTTATAGAAGATTTATTTGTCATTAAAGAAACATTTTAGGGGAATGGAAAAGAAATAGTTTTCACAAACACAGAAATATATTCAAGACTATCTGAAATTCTGGAGCAAGGTGACACATTATTGAGTATCTTGCATCGTGTCATTCATCTGAGCTCAGGGGTATAAGTCACAGGATATTTACAACTGGAGAGGAGGCACCAAATTACAACTTATCACCTAGGGAAGTCTGACAGGATTAGAAGAATTTTTGCAGGTTGGACACATGACTGAACATAAGCTGTGCTTTGTCACATGAAATCATTGGATCGCTCTGTGGGACATCTCATTGTTTCCATGGCATATTGAGGAGTTACGAAATCAGGAACCAATCCAACTTTTCAACATTGCTATGGATTAAAAGAAGCCCATGTTCAGACGCATTCTAACCCACAGCCATGGTTCCCACTGAGTTTCTAAGGACATCAGGGAAAAAAAAAATTAAAGGTATTTGCAATCTCCATGGAGTTTAAGGTCAATAATGTACTATTCGTAAAATGATATAATTTAGAAATCATGATCCATTTAGCAATAATCTGTTACTCTGACACATTCCAAGTCGTCTTATGCTTTGCAAGAGAGGCAATAAAAAATAGAAAACAATTTCATGCATTTTAAAATTCAACAAATAGTATATAAAGTAAACTGAAACAGTATGGGATGCTCTACTCCCTTTGCATCCAGGGAAAAGCAATGTCGGTATTCAGCCAAGCCCACCAAGACTTACATCGTATCCGCTGTTCCGGATTCCACGCCGGGGTCGCTCCCGAGTCACCAGAAGGTCCATCTCGGTTTCCCCTGGACTCGGGCTGTTCAGGGACTGCCGGCTTCGGTAGACAGAGTTCTTCATCTGTTGCCTGAAGAAAATTCAACAACTGTTATGATGCAGCAAATGCCCTGACAGATGGAATTCTCCACTGATCCAAACTACAAGCAACCAATGAAGGGTTTCGAATTGCCTCACACATCTCCGAATTGATGGCATTTGTTTCCTAGTTATAAGGGGCTATAGAAAGAACGAAATAAAGATTTTTTTCCCCCCTAGATGCTGTAATCATTTGTCTGAACTGTAAATGTTCTTTCATATGGAAACTAGGTAACGACAATCAATTGCAACATGCAACCTCATTTATAATTCTGCTGACAGCGAGGCCAAGGGTTCTCCCTTGACCCTCTAGGACAGCTAACGCTGAGAGAACAAACTTGAATTTGTTGACTTTGTTGACTCAGCAGCCGCCTGTTCCTTTTCATCTTTCTGATTTCATGTGCAGAATTCTATGAAGTGTTCATAACCCTGCAGCTAGTGGGCTGCTTAATGTTGTGACTGTTGATAGATTTTTTTTTTTTCTACCATTACCACAGTGGATTCCCTTCTAGGTTAAGAAGCTATAAACCCAGAGGCAATTTGGGGCTTATCCATCCCTCCACCTACCCATCCATCCATCCATTCATCCATCCATCCACTCAGCCATCCATCATTTCCTGAGTGCCTACTACAGTGGTCAGACAGATAGGGTCCTTGCTGTCCTAGAGTTTACTTCCTAATGAGGGAGACAATTAACATGGTAATTTCAGAGTGATATGGGCTGGTAAGAAAAGGAGCTGTGACAGAGGGTGGCTAGGATGGGAGCAACTTTAAATAGGATGGTCAGGGAAGGCCTCTCTGAGGAAATGACAATTCAGCCAAGTCCATGCTGACCCAGGCACTCCGCATTCAAGACCTAGGGAATAGCACGTTCAGAGGCTCTGCTCAGCTGCCGATAGAAGATTCAGACATTTGTCACCTTTGTTTCGTGTTCACTTGTCATTAGAGGAATCTTTATGAAGAGTGGGAAGGAAACAGAAACATAGTGAGGATTGTGGCTATGCCTTTTTTTCATCCACCAAGAGGCAATTTTTATAAGTGGGGAGTGAGGCCCGATGGGGACAGGTGACTTCCATATAATCCTGCAGCATGACAAAAAGGCAACTCTTTCCTCTCATCCAGCAATAAGTTTCTGTAAATAATTTGCAATCCCAGACTATCTTCAGAGGCCCCCCCACTATACAACACTTATTTTTTACCTCTCAATTTTAAGTTTCTGTTGATGGGCTGAGGGTGAAGATTTGCATTATTTCTGCCTAGTAGCTAAGTGTTCAGCAGCTGGGAGCCTGGCAGGAACACATACTTTTTTTCATGAACACACAATAAGTTAGTCACAGCATTATACTTGCACACAGTCTACAACAGACAATAGAACTCCAAGGCAAAGTATTACCTTTGCAATTAGTCTTGGGAATAAAATAAACAATCTTAGGTCTCCTCCTTCACCATGAAGTGCTTATACCAGATTAGACAGTATCTGTTGTTTCTGCTTGCCTGGTACCTGTGATAAAATTTCTTTTGGTGAAAGCATCACGATGTCTCTTGGGGGCTACTTTTCTCCAGAGGTAGGTACGTAACTCAGGCTGGACCAATCTCAGCATCATATCCCCATGACCACAGTGATCGGTCACGTGAGCTGAATTGGTCCAATGAGACTGTGTCTCATGGCTTTTGCTATGGCAACTAGAAAAAAGGCATTTCCTTGGCATGGAGGTTTCTAAGAAGATGGAAAATCAGCCTGAAATTGCTGGCAGCCACTTTGCCACTATGAGGTAAGAGTCTGCTTGAAAATGGGGCCAGAAAAGAGTAAAGAGAGAACCAATTAGGAGACATTATATGACCCTCTGAATCTACCCGTGCAGAACACTTGACCTTTCAATAATGCTCAATAACTTTCATTTAACCAGTTTGTTCTAGTTTTCTATCATTTGCAACCCGAAGAATCCTAAATCTAATATAGGAGCTTATAACCTGATACAGGGTGTCCATAAATCTCATGTGAAATTTAAAACCAGTGTGTGATTTAAAATTTCACATGAACTTTATGTGACCCCATATATTATAAACTGTGTTTGTGGTTATCTGCAATTAGGGGCTTCCTTTAGGAAAGGGGCACAACCTCAGCCAGCTTGTGAGACAGAATCTGTTCAGAGCAATTCATACTTTAAGGCAGACCCCAAAGAATTCACATCCTTGACCTAATTACAAATCATTTTTTGAAAAAGGCAACTTCATAACTGTCCTGAGATTGCCAATTAGCCTATTTAGAAAAGATTTACTAATAAGGGTGGTGGGGGAGTAAATACAAGGACTAGCAATTGACTTTTAAGTAGGTTATTTTGTATTAGAAATACAATAGTGAGATTGGGTAGGCCTCACAAGAACCAGGAATGTGGGTGAAAGCTTAGACACTGGAGTCTCCATCAGTCTATTTTTCCTCAAGGATGACATCCCATTATGATTCACAGCTTAAAGGTTACCACTTAGCATGGATCTCAACTGATCAGACCACCTACTCATGCCAGGTATGTGAGCACTTATTAATACTTAGGAATAAATTAGACTCTCAGTCTAATTTAATAAAATAGAGTTCCATTAGGTATGTTGATTTCTTATTGGCATTTTGCTATATGGTAGATCCTCCTTCGTTGACTACCTCCCTATACTGACCACCTCCTCAAGTTGGCCTAATTTTCGTAGATTGGACATGTGCCACATGTACTCAATGGAAGTTCCTTATGTGGACCACCTCTGTATGTTGATATGTTGACCGGTTTGTTAGAGTCCCCTGGGTGGTCAACTTACAGAGGTTCTACTGTTTTTTCTTTTTTTTTAAGACAGAGTCTCATTTTGTTACCCTCAGTAGAGGGCTGTGATGTCACAGCTCATAACAACCTCCAACTCCTGGGCTTAGGCAATTCTTTTACCTTAGCCTCCTGAGTAGCTGGGACTACAGGAGCCTGACATAATGCCTGGCTATTTTTTTGTTGTAGTTTGGCCAGGGCCAGGTTGTCACCTGCCACCCTCAGTATATGGGGCCGGCGCCCTACCCACTGAGCCACAGGGGCTGCCCAGGCTGTATTTTTAAAGTCAATACATTTTGAAAAATGCAAACTTGAGAAATAAGTTTTTTACCTCTGGAAATATTGTTGGGTGGATGATGAATTTACTTCAACTTCTTAGGGACTTTTTCCTCCCAGTATAGTTTACTAAAGCAGTTCTCAAATTATGTCCTGTGGAACCCTGAGGTTCTGTAGAGATGGCCTGGAGCCACCAGAGGAGGCGCTGCCCAGCTTCCATCAGAGCCCCTGTGCCTTTACATGCTATGGCCTTAGGCTGGGCTCCCCAGGAGCAGGCTCTATGAGAATTTGAGTGTAAGCAGTTCATTTGGGAGGTGATTCTGGAAAGCTCAGCGCCAGTGAGGAAAAGAGAGATGGCAGGGAAGGAAGGCAATAAAGGTGGGATATAGAGTAGATTAGTTTTTGGCAACAGGGGCACAAACCCACTGAACTGTGGGAGACACTTTGCTTTCAAATGGTCTGACAATTAAGTTCTCGAACTCATCCTAGAAAAAGTGCTACATGCCTCGCTGCTGCACAACACTACGGTCACCTTAGGAGTCCTGATCCACGCGCTGACACCAGTGGCTGGTCCACCTTCAAAGCACTTTTTCTAGGATGAGTTCATGAACCTTATCATTAGCCCTTGGATTAATATTTAGGGCAAGACCAACAGACCAGGCGATGAATGCCACTGAAGAGACAGCTTGCTACACTCACAGATCCCAAGGGAAGGGGACAGGTTGCGCCATAGTGGGGCCCCTCAGAGCGAGGAGAAAATGTGGTAAGAGCCTTTATTGTGGTTTCTGTGGGAAGTGATGAGCAAGGCTGGGCTGGTAGACTTAGGATCAGCCAGTCTGAATAATTCTGGCAGACTCCTGGGGCACAGGGGCTGTTGCCAGTTGACTGATCCCTGGTCCTGGGGTGATCAAGGCAGGTGGATACTAGGAGTGCAGCCTGTGAGAGCCCTGTGTGGCCATGTAAAGAAAGCAGTGGGGGTGTGGCTCAGGACTGGCTGCTTTGCATATATGAAAAGTGTGTTTGCAGCTTAGCTGTCACTAGGAGCAGGGCGGCTCTGGGAGGGGCTGTTTCTCTGGAGTCAGCAAGGTCCCAAACGGTAAATCATCCAATACGGAAACTAGAAAATGTGGTTATTACAACAGCGTAACTGATGCCTTGAGCTCTCCTGCCAGGGGTATTTCTCCACCAATTCCCACCTGTTGTGGACTCAGGATGCTCCACAGTGCACTAGCTACCTAACTGTGTGGTCAGTGGCTGCCAAAAAAGAAGCCCCCATGTCAGCATGACAGATGCTTGCAGTAAGCAGGATACTGCTGGGCTGGACAGGTGCAGTCACAGCTGAGCTGGGCCCACCAACAGCATCTGCCTAAGTTATAGTACAGTGGGTACTTTGGGCAAGAGTTTATAACATAAAAATGGCATGTTCTTCTCGTTTAAAAAAAGAGCCGTGGAAACCATTTTAAAAGATTTAGTGGTGAGTCAACTTCTGAATTCTAAACTTTTTCTTTTATTTGATGTAATTTAGGTCTTGGGGTAAACCTCTGGTTATGGATGCTACCTCTGGAATGGTGTCTCACGGGTGCCCTGCTGTGGCGCAGTCACTGAGAGCGGACCCTTGGCAGAGTGTGCTACGAATAGCAATGCACAGGTGATTCTAGCCTGTGATAAGGGATAAACAGTAGCTGGCCTCTGGGCTCAACAGCAGAACATATAAAGAGTAACAGCTCTGAGCTTTCTGATACTGACACTCACTTTTTCCCCTCTTAGTCTTTCCCTTCCTATCCCTGGCTCTTACTGATCCCACCTTCCTTCCTATTCCTAAGCTCATCTAGTTGTGGCCATCCATCTTTTTCCCTTAACTGTTCAAAAATATATATTTTTGGTGTTTTATCATCATTAAATCATTTCTTCAATAGATATTTACTAAGAATTAACTACACGTGCATAGCAACAGCCGGCCATCAAAGGCCCTGAGAATCTGGCCTGAACTCATTCTAGGAAAGATGCATCTCTCCAGAAACATGTGTTTTTGTTTGTAGAGAGTTTTACTCTGTTTCCCCAGGATACAGTGGAATGGATCAGCCTAGCTCACAGCAACCTCCAACTCCTGGGTTCCAGTGATCCTCCTGCCTCACGCTCCTGAGTAGCTGAGACCAGAAGTGTATACCACCACCCCAGGCTAATTTTTTCCGTTTCTATTTTTAGTAAAGTCAGGGTCTTGCTCTTGTTAAGGCTGGTTTAGAACTCCTGAGTTCAAGGGAGCCTCCCACCTTGGCCTCCCAGAGTGCTGGGATTACAGATGTGAACTACTGTGCCTGGCCAGAGACAAGTTTTATTCATTCTCTTTTCCATGAAAAGCCTTACTTGAAATATTTATTTGTTTCTCAAGTAACTTCCTGCATACGTTCCCTTTATTTGTGTTTTGATTCATTTTCTTTGAGTGTCAGCAGGAAACCCAGGAAAAACGGCTCCCACCCCAGTGTATAAAAGACCCCTCAAGTAAAAAGTCCCCAAGTGCAAAGCTAAAGCTAAAGAAACCACCAGCCTCCTTTTAAAACCCGTATCTTTTCTTCTCATTTTAATTTACAGTTATTAACACAGTGACACATTCATTGTGAACCCTGTCACGGTGTGATTTTATATCAATAGCTTGTCATACCAACCAAGTCTAATTAGAAGCATGGTAAATTAAGCACTGGTTCAGAATTCCCTCTTTTCTTTATTGAAAAAAAATTACGTTGATCCAATTCATAAATTTAGCCCCCATCTCTGCTTGATTTTGTGGCTTCAATCCAAGCCTGTCACAGAGTCATTTCTGCTTTTAGTAAATACTAACTCATCCCAAGAACTGCCCTATTGCTCCCAGTCTCTGGAGAATGCACCTGTTGCGATTCTGTGGAATATCAGAACAGTGGTTCTGCTCAAAGCCAGGGGGAAGTTACCAAAATGTGTATAGGAAAGAGGTGGCCTCAAATTATGAAAATCCTTCCAGTAGGTAGGAAAAGGAGGAAGGAGTTGGCTTTGCCAACTTATACCGTTTTACCCAGTTATGTGAGGTCACTGATTAGGAGCAAACAGAGCTTGGAAGGATGCGGCAGTGGTATAAATGTTTTTCCCCTCCAAAATTCATGTTGAAATTTGGTTGCTGCTATAGCAGTGTTGGGAGGTGGAAGCTTTGATAGGCTCCCTCTCACCCTCATGGGTAAGACTGGTAAGTCATAAGGTGAATTAGGGCCCCTCTTGGTCTCTTTTTGCCCTTCCACCTGCCACCATGTAATAATGCACCGATCTTGAATGTCTCTGCCTCCAGAAGTATAAGAAAATAAATTTCTGTTCCTTATAAATTACCCAGTCTCAAGTATTCTCCTACAGCAGCACAAAATGAGCGACAGAAGCCAATTCAAACCACCTGGTCTAGGCCTTCCTCACTAGGCCACGCCCCCCTTTCAGACCATTCCTGTGTCTCCCACTTCAAACACCCATCACACTTGTGATCAATAAACTTCAGGGGATTAGTGTTATTCTCTTTCTCATCCATCAGATATTAAGTTCCACTGTTGCAGCGATGAAGCTGTTTCATCCACCATCAAATGTGGAAGAAATGGGAATTGAATGAACAAATGAGAAGCAGCACACGTGACCAGGGCAGTATCAGAGTCTTGAATGGTGCCTAATGCACAGCAGGTGACAATGCATGTCAAATAAATCAACCAATATATGAATGAACAAGATGGACCAGTATGGACCTCTGAGCAGCTGTGTGGCAAATAGTTACTGGGGCTGAATGAAAAGGTGAGGCATAAAATTTGCTTTTTTCTTTCTTTCTTTCTTTTTTTAATAAAAGAGCCTCTAAAATAATTGAAAAATGCAATGTCCTTTGGTCTGGAAGTTGCATCACTAGGTAGGTGATAATGATATCTTCATTCAGCTCTGAAAAAGCTATTGGTTTGAAAATAATCGCTAAGCTAAAGGATGATTATGACTATTTGCCTAGGTTTTTTTTTTTTTTGAGACAGAGCCTCAAGCTGTCACCCTGGGTAGAGTGCCATGGTATCACAGCTCATAGCAACCTCTAACTCCTGGGCATAAGCGATTCTCTTGCCTCAGTCTCCCAAGTAGCTGAGACTACAGGCGCCCGCCACAGCGCCTGGCTATTTTTTGGTTGTAGTTGTCTTTGTTGTTTGGCAAGCACAGGCTGGATTTGAACCTGCCAGCTCTGGCGTATGTGGCTGGTGCCTTGGCCACTTGAGCTATAGGCGCTGAGCCTGCCCAAGTATTGTTTTAATGGCTTCCATTTCATTGTTGTCCAGACTCATTATGGGCCATGTACTTGCACAGCCTAGCAGGGTCCATATCAGGAGCCTACAAAAAGCACAGTCCTAAGGTATCAGATCCAGGGATGAGGACTACAATCCCTGAGGCATCTTCTGCCTTCATCCCACCAATAAAACAACAACCTTTACAGAATCCCTTAGAGAATGCACCTGGTTTTAGACTCAGCGAATGGAGCACACAGTTCTGGGTCCGTATCCAAAACATGCTCAATTTCCTTTTGGGCTTTTTCATACATCTTTTTTCTTTCAGTCAGACCCTTGCTTGTCTCCACTGGTGGGAAGTCATAATATCCCTTTCTCTTGGCTTTGAGGCGTAGCTTGTTCCGATAGTGTTCAATGTCTGACTTCTGCTTCAGGGCTTTGTTCACCTGGGGAGAGAGAGTGTCAGGCCCACATCTGACCCAGCACAGTTCACAGGTGGGAGAATTTCAAAAGCCACCCTCGGAGTCACCTCTGGTCCTTTGGGCCAGCCAGATCCACCTGTACCTCGTTTCAAGACCAGTGTAAAACAGGGGGTCCCAAACAATAACTAAATAACAAATGATGAGGATGTTATATCCCAACTATTGAACTTTCTATGTTGTTATTGTGGTTTCTTAAAAGTAATTTTTTTTTTTTTTT